ATCAAAGTAAATGACATTGAGGGCATTTTAAATTGGGGGGAAAGGGAAGGGCCCGGGGTTTTGGGGTCGTCCTCAAAAAGGGTTTGGGAGGGAGGGGTAAAGGAGGGGGTTGTTGGGCAAGGGTTTGGATTTCCCCGCAAGCGTGCGTGGCGTTTTAGATAGGAGTGAATGGGAAAAAATGGAAATTGGGGACCTGACAATCTGTTGGAGTGTGGGGCGGGGTTTAATATTTGGGAAAGGGGAAATCAGGGAAAACCGGTTTATTTTATAAAACGGACCGAGTCCTGGAAATGGGAAGTAAAAACCCTCCCACTCTTAAAGGGGGGGGTTTTGGGTTTTTTGGCAGTTTGGGCGAATAATTGAAAAATTTTTATAAATTTAACTTTAAGCTTTTTGTATTCTTTGGCACCTCTCCCCAAAAACAGTGATTAGTGGAGTGGGTGAAAACATTAATAATGATGAAAGTATTTTTTTTTTTGGGGTTTTCTTTTTCCCTTTTGGGGCACCTTGGGGCCCCGGTGGGAGACGGCCGACTTGTTGAGGGGGGGGGGGAAAAAAAAAAAAACACTGCAAAGGGTCTGCTGGCCTATGTGGGGGGGGGGGGCCCGGTCCAATTCTTTCCCCCCCCGGGGGTTTTAAAACAAGCCATGACCCAATCAGGCAGCACGTCACTTAAGGGGGGGAGCAAAGGGAAACTGACGTAAATAAACACCCAAACTAGTCAGGTCCAAAATCACACCCACCCCCACACTCGGTAATTTTTCCAGCCTATTCTTAAAAATACACAAACTTTTTAGCTTTTATGACTGTACTCTGGAAATTTTTTCCCACTCATCCCCCAAAAACCCGTTACCCAAAACCCGGCTTTTTCCCATTCCTTTTCCCGAATCTGAATTTATTCCAATTTAAAACCCTTGCGCAGTCCTGTCTATGTTAAAATATTTTTTAGCAAGCTATTTTTCATTTCCCCTTTTAAAAAATTCCTGTTTTCCATTTCCAAAAAAGGGAAAAAAAATACTTTCATAATCATTCAAAAACTTTCACCAAATCACACATAAACCCCTGTTTTTGCAGAGGTTCTCAGAATAAAAAAGAGAACATATACCTAAAAAGATACACAATATATCCCTCCAAAAATCCAAAAATCCCAAAACCCCCCCTTTAAAGTGCAGGCATTATACTTCCCCTTTCCAAAACTCCAAATTGAGTAAATAAAAAAAATCGGGTTTTCCCGAATCCCCCTTTACTAAATATTACCCTGCTCACACTCCAACAGCTCGTCAGGTCCCAAATACCATTCATTCCTATATAACACACTCACGCACTCTTGCTGGAAGTCCAAGCCCCTCGCCCACAAAACCCCCTTTACCCCCTCCTTCCAACCTTTTTGAGGATGACCCTTACCCCACCTTCCTTCCCCTACAGATTTAAATGCTCTCCATGTCATTCTACTTTGATCCATTCTCTCTAAATGACCAAACCACCTCAACAACCCCTCTTCAGCCCTCTGACTAATACTTTTATTAACTCCACACCTCCTAATTTCCACACTCCAAATTTTCTGCATAATATTTACACACAATTTTCATTTACAACCCAAGCTTCACACCCATATAAGAGTGTTGGTACCACTATACTTTCATACATTGCCTTCTTTGCTTCCATAGATAACTTTTTTGTCTCCACATATACCTCAATGCACCACTCGCCATTTCCAATTTTTCTTTATCTAAATCATTTGATACCCTCATCACCTTGCTTCTTTCTATTTTTCATTTTAAAAAACTTTTACCTTTGACACACTCCCAAACTCATCCACTAACCTTTGCAATTTTTCTTCAGAATTTCCCGTAAGCACAGTATCATCAGCAAAAAGCAACTCTGTCAATTCCGATTTTGTATTTGATTCCCCATAATTTAATCCCACCCCCCTCCCGAACACCCTAGCATTTTCTTCTTTTACAACCCCATCTATGAGTATATTAAACAACCATTGTGACATTACACATCCCTGTCTAAGACCTACTTTTACTGGGAAGTAGTCTCCCTCTCTTCTACAAAACCCCTAACCTGAGCTCTCTATCCTCATAATAACTCTTTACAGCATTTAATAACTTACCACCTATTCCATATACTTGCAACATCTGCCACATTGCTCCTCTATCCACTCTATCATATGCCTTTTCTAAATCCATAAATGCAATAAAAACTTCCCTACCTTTATCTAAATACTGTTCACATATATGCCTCAATGTAAACACTTGATCTACACATCCCCTACCTATTCTGAAACCTCCTTGCTCATCCGCAATCCTACATTCTGTCTTACCTCAAATTCTTTCAGTTATAACCCTACCGTACACTTTTCCTGGTATACTCGGTAAACTTATTCCTCTGTAATTTTTACAATCTCTTTTGTCCCCCTTCCCTTTATATGAAAGGACCATACATGCTCTTTGCCAATCCCTAGGTACCTTCCCCTCTTTCATACATTTATTAAACAAAAATACCAACCACTCCAACACTATATTCTCCCCTGCTTTTAACATTTCTGTCATGATCCTGTCAGTTCCAGCTGCTTTACCCCCTTTCATTCTACGTAATGCCTAATGCACCTCCCCCACACTCACATCCTGCTCATCTTCACTCCTAAAAGATGGTATACCTCCCTGGCCAGTGCATGAAGTTAACGCCTCCCTTTTTTTCGTCCATTTTAAAAGTTCCTCGAAATATTCTCGCATCTCCCCCAATATTTCCCACCCCCCACTACAAACTCCCCTACTCTGTTTTAACAACAAATCCATTCGTTCCCTGGGGTTTTCTTAAAACTTTTTTTTAAAACCCAGAATTTTTTTATTTTCATTAAATTTTGTGACGTCCCTCTCCCACACTATCATCTGCTCTCCTTTTGCACTCTTCACCACCTCTTCACCTTTCTTTTACTCGCCATATCTCACTCTTTGTATAACCTTCTGCTTTAAAAAAACTTCTAATAAGCTAATTTTTTCTCTTATACACACCCTTTTACTTCTCATTCCACCAGTCACCCTCATTCCCCCTGCCCCCCCACCCTCCAAAAACCACGAACTCTGCCCCCATTCTGAATTACTGCTTTTTAAACTTTTCCCAAACCCCTCTTCAGAGGCCGTGCACAACACACACACACACACACACACACACACACACAAACACACACACACACAACACACACAACACACACAAAACACACACACACACACACACACACACACACACCCCACACCACACACACACACACACACACAACACCACACAAAACCAACAAACACCCCCACAACACCACACACCCCAAAAACCACAACCACACACTAAACACCCCACACTCACACCACACCACACCACACTCACACCACACACTCACCCCCACTACTCAACTTGCACTACCCAATTTTCTCCAATATTCCTAAAAACTCGTCCAACTTCCTCCTCCCATAGTTTAAGCATTTTCGCCCCTTTTGTTGTTGCCATTTTTCCTCTTGCCCATCTCCTTTTACTCTAACTGTAGTACAACAAAAAATGACCGATATATCATTGCACCCTATAAAAGTACACCGGGAGCCCCCCAAAACCCTTTTTTATCCAAATGCATAACAACAAACACTTCTTTATGGCTAAATAAACCCTTTGGGATTTTATTTATCCTCTTACATAAAATATGATTTTTCCCAAAAACCTTTTTTCTACACAACTCAATTAAAGGCTTCCCATTTTAAATTACCCCTGGCACCCCCCAAAAATTTTTTACCACCACTTCCCCTCCACCACATTTTTCCCATTTTAACATTGAAATCTCCAACCACAAGTACTCTCCACTTTTCAAAACCCCCCCATTCACTCAACATTTCCCAAAACCTTCCTCTCCTCTACACTTCTCTCTTCTCCAGGTGCATAACACTTTACTATAACCCGCTTTTCCATCCAACCTTTTTTTTACTCCTCATAATCCTTAATTAAACTATAACCCCCCCTTTTCCGCCATAGCTTACCTTTCAACATTATTGCTACTACTCCTTTACCTAACTCTATTTAAACCCCCGACCTAATCCCATTATTCCTCTCACTAAACTCTCCCAACCCCTTCACTTTGTTTCAAAAAAGCCAGAATCCAACTTCTTCTCAGTCAAATCCCAATCATCCTTTTTTGTCATTCGCCGACTTTCTGCACATTCAGACACCCACTTTGACAATTTTCTTCTTTTTAGTAATAGTACAGGAAAAGGGGTTACAGCCCATTGTTCTCAGCATTTTTTGTTGACTTTTTACAAACCCCGCTGGGGTTACAAGGAAAGATTTTTTTTCCCTTCCCCCACGAATAAAAGGAAAAAATAATAAGAACAAAACTATTAAGATAAAATCAAAGAAACCAATGAGTGTGTGAAATAAACGTTACATGAGTGAGGTGTGACCTAATGTAATTGAAGTAGCAAAACATACCTGTAATCTTGCTATTTAGAGAAGACAAAAAACATCAGCAATCCTACCCTCATGTAAAACAATTACACCCGTTTACACTCCTTGCAGAACGGGATATCTCCCTGGGTTGGGTTTCTGTCTACCAACCATTACCTATAAACTCAATCATATCCCCCCAATTCTATGCCTTTTTTTGAGAGTGCAGATTATGGCCCTCAGTCATCCCATAAAAAGATTTCGATGCATGGGGTCAACTTTTTCACCTCCTTTGTAAGTTTTCCAATGCATTTATATCCTTCTTATACGGGACCAAAACTGCCGTAAATTTAAATGAGCCTAACCAAAGATATATAAAGTTGAAAAAAAACCTTAAACATAGTTGAAAAAACACTTAAACAAGATGCATTCCTCATATTTTTGGGGCCCCAAAATTTTTTTCCACACTTATCTGATAGCTGAGCCAAAATGAAGCACTACACTTGGACCTTCAAAGGTTAAATTTTGTAAACAGCATTTTTTGGGGAAAAAACTTTATATTTTTATTACAGAAAGACAACAATTACCGTCCCATAGCTTGAACAGGTTTGGACTCTCTTTTCACTTGCTATCGGTCAATTTCCCCCATGATAACAAATTGACCCTACTGACCAAACCTGAAAACATACTCTTTTTACCCGACATAATTAAGATGACCCAAAAAAGGGAGCAAAACCATTCATGCAATAAAAATCCGGGACATTTAATTGCCGTAGGGTAAATCACAGATTAAAATATCTTTATAAAGAAGTAGCAAAACTTGGGGACTACAGAGATACTATAACTAATAACTTACTTTTAAAAAATTTTAAAAGACAACATTTAGGATAGTATAGCTGAGATTTGATTGAATTAACATTTTTTTTTTTTTCCAGAAAAGAGACATTAGAACAGTAAAGAAGACAGATATTCAGCTAATTGATTTTGGCAGTGCAACATTTGATCACGAGCATCACAGTACTATAGTTTCTACAAGACACTATAGAGCCCCTGAGGTTATTTTAGGTTAGTTACAATCCTTGTTTTCATTATATGCTCTTGTGAGGAATGTAGTTATTATCGGTACTTGTTTTTATACAATGAAGTACAGTAGCCCAATATAAAATGTGAGAAGTATAATAAATTAAGTGGTAAGAAAATGATAATCTATCTGGGAACATTGAAATCATAACTCTAGTTCACTTGTTTCTAATACTATGTAGGTTCTTAATTGACAATGACCCAAATTCTGATTTAAGGGCTAGGTCATTCACGCTAAGACTTCAGCCATATTCTCTATGATAAATTATAAATGAAGAATAAAAATATGCATTTAATTAGAAAATTAAATGTATTTTCTTATTGAACAACAGTGCTCGAATAGCTCTGTGAGACCTGGTGGGAATGGTTTATGTGCTGAAAAAATTATTGTAATTAAGTCTTCAGCAAAATCAATCTATAACTTAGCTTAAATTAACACAAGTTTTGACTTGCCCCACATTATTTATTTATTTCCCTTGTAATGCATTAATAGGACTACCAGTTAATGTTTTTGCTTAAGTTTGGAAGGGATTTGGATATCTTGTGCTTAGACAAAGAATTGATAAAATCAAGTATTGCTGAAACTTTAAATTTATCTACACTGTTCAGTCTAAATGAAAAGCAGGATCTTGCTGGTTTCTTATCTGAAGTGGAAAGTATAGTTATATAGCTGTGTTAATTGTTCACTATACAGAGTTGGGTTGGCAACAACCATGTGATGTATGGTCCATCGGGTGTATAATGTTTGAACTGTACCTGGGCATCACCTTATTCCAAACACACGATAACCGGGAACATTTAGCGATGATGGAGCGAATCCTTGGACCCATCCCTTATAGGTAAGTCATTCACTGCTGTGGAATTACCTTTTGAGTTTGGTTCAACATCCTAACATTTGTGACTGCTATGAAAGAATCCTATGATATAGACTTATACTTCCTATTGGAAGTCTGCTTACACCTTGTTTGTTTAATTCTCTCTCTACTTAATTCAGAATCTTTTACACTCTTATTAAATGTTTTCTGCCATTCCTGTGGCTCACGTGAATATTACTTTTAACCACACCCTCTCATTCTTGTTTTGTACCTGGTAAAGAACCTGTTCTTGTGTACTCTGTCTATGCTACTCAAGAGTTTTGTATGCAATTATCACATTACCTTTTGTTCTTAGTTATTTATTAATATAAGGTCAGGTTCTCGTATTTTTTCTTCATACCTTATTTCCCTCAACTCTGCAACTAATCTTTATGCACTCCTTTGTATTGAAATTCTGAGGTTTTATGAGTGTGTGTGTATTGATAATCTGGACCATTATTCATCCATTGTATCAGAATGTTTGTTTACAGTTTTTTATAAATAATACTCTGAAGTGTGTTGCAAAATATTTTATCGAGTACCAAAACTGTATAGATGTGATAGACAAACTGCAGCAGTGCAGTAGATAAAAATTGACTTGTCCAAGTGCTGGGGCATAATTCTTGGGAATTTGTAGACATAAGAAAAAATACTACTAGCACTGAAGTTTGATGTACCTTGGAGAAGAGATCGTAGAGGTCTTAAACCCTTAAATGTGCAACATCCTTTCAATTTTGATACCAGTGGTAGTATCATCTTGCCAGAATGTCCTATAACCTATACCCTAAGTAAAGAGAAACAATTCTGGAATGTGTAATACATGTTTGGCTGGCCAGGTGGCTGGCTGGGTGGCTGAGTGACTTTGCTGTCTCTGTCTCCATCTGTATCTGCACATCTCTGCCTGTCTCTGCATCTCTGTCTATATGTCTGTATCTGCACATCTCTGCCTGTCTCTGCATCTCTGTCTATATGTCTGTATCTGCACATCTCTGCCTGTCTCTGCATCTCTGTCTATATGTCTGTATCTCACAGATACACACAAATAGTTATTGTCGTTTTTTTTTTTTTTTTTTTTTCAACAAGTCTGCCGTCTCCCACCGAGGCAGGGTGACCTAAACAAGAAAGAAAATCCCCAAAAAGAAAATACTTTCATCATTCAACACTTTCACCTCACTCACACATAATCACTGTTTTTGCAGAGGTGCTCAGAACACAACAGTTTAGAAGCATATACCTATAAAGATACACAACATATCCCTCCAAACTGCCAATATCCCGAACCCCTTCTTTAGAGTGCAGGCATTGTACTTCCCATTTCCAGGACTCAAATCCGGCTATATAAAATAACCGGTTTCCCTGAATCCCTTCACTAAATATTACCCTGCTCACACTCCAACAGATCGTCAGGTCCCAAATACCATTCGTCTCCATTCACTCCTATCTAACAGGCTCACGTACGCTTGCTGGAAGTCCAAGCCCCTCGCCCACAAAACCTCATTTACCCCCTCCCTCCACCCTTCTCGAGGACAACCCCTACCCTGCCTTCCTTCCCCTACAGATTTGTACACTCCATGTCATTCTAATTTGATCCATTCTCTCTAAATGACCAAACCACTTCAACAACCCCTCTTCAGCCCTCTGACTCATACTTTTATTAACTCCACACCTTCTCCTAATTTCCACACTCAGAATTTTCTGCATAATATTTACACCACACATTGCCTTTAGACAGGACATCTCCACTGCCTGCAACCGCCTCCTCGCTGCTGCATTCACACACCAAGCTTCACACCCATATAAGAGTGTTGGTACTACTGTACTTTCATACATTCCCTTCTTTGCCTCCATAGATAATGTTTTTTGTCTCCACATATACCTCAATGCACCACTCACCTTTTTTCCCTCATCAATTCTATGATTAACCTCATCCTTCATAAATCCATCTGCCGATGCGTCAACTCCCAGGTATCTGAAAACATTCACTTCTTCCATACTCCTCCTCCCCAATTTGATATCCAATTTCTCTTTATCTAAATCATTTGATACCCTCATCACCTTACTCTTTTCTATGTTCACTTTCAACTTTCTACCTTTACACACTCCCAAACTCATCCACTAACCTTTGCAATTTTTCTTTTGAATCTCCCATGAGCACAGTATCATCAGCAAAAAGCAACTGTGTCAATTCCCATTTTGTATTTGATTCCCCATAATTTAATCCCACTCCTCTCCTGAACACCCTAGCATTTACTTCTTTTACAACCCCATCTATAAATATATTAAACAACCATGGTGACATTACACATCCCTGTCTAAGACCTACTTTTACTGGGAAGTAGTCTCCCTCTCTTCTACACACCCTAACCTGAGCCTCACTATCCTCATAAAAACTCTTTACAGCATTTAGTAACTTACCACCTATTCATATACACCTTCCATCCGACTTACGACCGAGTTCGGTTCCGAGAAACCGGTCATAAGTCGAAATGGTCGTAAGTCGAAATTTGCTACTGAATGTCAACAAAACATTTTTGTAATGACTTTATTTTATTGTTTTATTTTGGTATTTCATGTTTTACTTTACTTTTTATGTTGTTAGTAATGTATTTTATACTGTAAGGTTTAGGATAAACACTGTGTACAACACAAATAGTTGTTTATTTCCCAGAAATTTGGCACAAAAAACATGGTCGTAAGTCGAGTGGTCGTAAGTCGAGTGGTCGTAAGTCGAGCAGGTCGTAAGTCGGATGGTAGGTGTACTTGCAACATCTGCCACATTGCTCCCCTATCCACTCTATCATATGCCTTTTCTAAATCCATAAATGCAATAAAAACTTCCCTACCTTTATCTAAATATTGTTCATGTATATGCCTCAATGTAAACACTTGATCTACACATCCCCTTCCCACTCTGAAACCTCCTTGCTCATCTGCAATCCTACATTCTGTCTTACCTCTAATTCTTTCAATTATAACCCTACCGTACACTTTTCCTGGTATACTCAGTAAACTTATTCCTCTATAATTTTTACAATCTCTTTTGTCCCCCTTCCCTTTATATGAAGGGACCATACATGCTCTCTGCCAATCCCTAGGTACCTTCCCCTCTTTCATACATTTATTAAACAAAAATACCAACCACTCCAACACTATATTCTCCCCTGCTTTTAACATTTCTGTCATCATCCTGTCAGTTCCAGCTGCTTTACCTCCTTTCATTCTATGTAATGCTTCACACACCTCCCCCACACTCGCATCCTGTTCTTCTTCACTCCTTAAAGATGATATACTGTACCTCCCTGGCTAGTGCATGAAATTACCGCTTCCCTTTCTTCGTCGACATTTAAAAGTTCCTCAAAATATTCTTGCCATCTACCCAAAACCTCCATCTCCCCATCTACTAACTCCCCTACTCTGTTTTTAACTGACAGATCCATTTGTTCTCTAGGCTTTCTTAACTTATTTAACTCACTCCAAAAAATTTTCTTATTTTCATTAAAATTCCTTGACAGTGCCTCTCCCACTCTATCATCTGCTCTCCTTTTGCACTCTCTCACTACTCTCTTCACCTTTCTTTTACTCTCCATATACTCTACTCTTCGTATAACACTTCTGCTTTGTAAAAACCTCTCATAAGCTAACTTTTTCTCTTTTATCACACCCTTTACTTCATTCCATCAATTGCCCCTCATTCCTTGTGCACCCACTCTCCTATAACCACAAACTTCTGCCCCACATTCTAATACTGCATTTTTAAAACTATTCCAACCCTCTTCAACCCCCACTACTCATACTTGCACTAGCCCACCTTTCTGCCAATAGTTGCTTATATCTCACTCCAACTTCCTCCTCCCTTAGTTTATACACTTTCACCTCCCTCTTGCTTGTTGTTGCCATTTTCCTCTTTTCCCACCTACCTCTTACTCTGTATGTAGCTACAACTAAATAATGATCCAATATATCAGTTGCCCCTCTATAAACATGTACATCCTGGAGCCTACCCATCAACCTTTTATCCACCAATACATAATCTAACAAACTACTTTCATTACGTGCTATATCATACCTTGTATATTTATTTATCCTCTTCTTCATAAAATATGTATTACTTATTACTAAACCTCTTTCTACACATAGCTCAATTAAAGGCTCCCCATTTTCATTTACCCCTGGCACCCCAAAATTACCTACTACTCCCTCTACAACATTTTTGCCCACTTTAGCATTGAAATCCCCGACCACCATTACTCTCACACTTGGTTCAAAACTCCCCATGCATTCACTCAACGTTTCCCAAAATCTCTCTCTCTACTCTACACTTCTCTCTTCTCAGGTGCATATACGCTTACTATAACCCACTTTTCACATCCAACCTTTATTTTACTCCACATAATCCTTGAATTAATACATTTGTAGACCCTCTTTTCCTGCCATAACTTATCCTTCAACATTATTGCTACTCCTTTAGCTCTAACTATTTGAAACCCCTGACCTAATCCCATTTATTCCTCTCCACTGAAACTCTCCCACCCCCTTCAGCTTTGTTTCACTTAAAGCCAGGACATCCAGCTTCTTCTCATTCATAACATCCACAATCATCTCTTCCCTATCATTTTCACAACATCCACGCACATTCAGACTTCCCACTTTGACAATTTTCTTCTTATTCTTTTTAGTAATTTTTACAGGAAAAGGGGTTACTAGCCCATTGTTCCTGGCATTTTAGTTGACTTTTACAACACGCATGGCTTACGGAGGAAAGATTCTTATTCCACTTCCCCGTGGATATAAAAGGAAAAGTAATAAGACCAAGAACTATTAAGTTAAAATCATAGAAAATTCAGATGAGTGTGTATAAATAAACATGTACATGTATGTGTAGTGTGACCTAAGTGTAAGTAGCAAGACGTACCTGTAATCTTGCATATTTATGAGACAGACAAAAGACACCAGCAATCCACCATCATGTAAAACAATTACAGGCTTTCGTTTCACACTCGCTTGGCAGGACGGTAGTACCCCCCTGGGTGGTTGCTGTCTACCAACCTACTACCTATAAAGTTATTGTACATAGTGTAAATTACGTAGGATAACCCCCCAAAAAATCCAGACGATGTGCTATACTGTGCTTATAGATATAAGGCATAATAAGCATGACTGGCAAGTAATAAGCATTTTCAATTGTACAGGAATCAGACCTGAATCTGCATCATGTGTAATACCTGTTGGTTCTGAGACAGAAAGAACAAGCAGAGACAGGAAGACAGACACACAGGCAGACAGATAAGCAGAGACAGAGCTAGACAGATAGACGAATAGACACAGACGAATAGGCAAAAAGACTCGGACAAATACAGACATGTTTATATGTAACAGTGAAATCAAACGGCCAAGGCAGTGCACAATCATCAAGTGTCACTTGTCCACTGCTGCACTGTCAGCAGTGGAGTGACACTCATCTTAGACCATGCTTCAAGGAATTTCATATATACTCCGGCATGTCTAAAACATTGCTGCGACCTATAAATACTTTCTGTATATTTCTAGACAGTAGTAGGTAACCAAGGCAGGTGAAAATGTTCACGTGTCAGTGTGTATGTGACTGAGTACTATTTCAGTACCTAATATTAGTATCAGAACAGACATTGGCTATGAAATCAAAGAAACTACTACAAATTGTAATTATCAGAACATAAAAATGATATAAATAAAAAAAAAGAGGAAAAGAAGTATGTCAGCAACACTTCTGCAAGTGGCAGGACTTCATGTTGCCATCAGGTGAGCAACAAGCGCTGACTTTGTGGGCTTATATCTCCGTAAGTACTGACTCTTAATTTTTTTTTTTTTTACATTATGTAAAAAAATATCCTCTTCATTTAAAAAAAAAAAAAATTCACAGCATTCGGAGCGCTGGGCGAGAGAACATAGATCTACGTTTGGACAGTTAAGGGGTTAAAAACTGTGAACATGGCTGCACTTCCCGAAGAAGGTGCTGGCATGATGGCAAAAAATGCACATAAGTAGCACTAATATGCATCCTAAAATGCCTGAGAGGTTTTTAAGAAGTTGACTTGCTGGAGATGCAGTGCGAATGAGAAAATGAAATATAAACATTGTTCTTCAAAGTGAATTCTAAAACAAACACCTGTAGCTGACTGTTTATTTATATATTTGACTTCACAGGATGGGCAGAAAGACTCGGACCAAATATTTCTATCACGGGAAGTTAGACTGGGATGAGAAGAGCTCAGCGGGCAGATATGTTCGGGAAAATTGTAAACCATTAAGGGTGAGTAATTGAGAATTCTTTTATATTGAAAGCTTGTTACATTACTTTATTTGCTTCCTTACATTACATGCCAGTAATATTTGCTTTAGAGTTGTGCTCCTTTTGTGTAAATGTCTGTTGTGTTATGTCTATTTGACTGTATTTTTGACAGTGTTGCACTGGGTAAGTGATACTGGTGTCCACTATTTGTCATTTCTGGTTATATATGCCTTGAATTAATTTTAAATGTTGATTAACTAGTTATTTTTATTTTCCCTTGAATATAGCTAGAACAAATTATTTTTGTTGGCGTTATATAATGAATTGTTCGTTTATGATAAATGTTAGATAGCATTTTTGTCTTGGCTAATTTTTTTATTTTTGTATTATTAATTTTTTGATTATTTATCAGTTACAGTAACTTATAAATTTAAAATTTGTCATTTATGACCTTTACTTAAACTCTTCAGTTGTACATTTACTGTTTTTCGTTACATACAGATCATAAAAATGTGTTTGATTTCTTCTATATATCATTTATACTGTGTATAAAGAATAATTGTACATTATTGCAAAATATGTAAGCTGGAACAAATATAGATGCCCTTTAAGAAGGACTACACATTCCTGCTGAGGTGCCTGATATACCTGGCTGTGTTAACTGTCTGGGCCTACAAGCCACAGGGACCAATATCTTGGCTTAGCAGGCGGCCAAATGGAAAGCTTTGTCGGAGGCCAGCTGCAATAGTGGGTTTATGGTTTATATATGCTAGGAAGATTAGCATGAGCACCACTATGACTACAAATGCAGATTGTAACAAACATCTCACAACTGCATGGCTATGGCAAACTCTGCTTTGACTCCCTGCAAATGACCAAGCAGTGATGTATGACCCTTATGGGCTTTAATGCTTAGTTTTGATTGTAATAATAATATAAATGACTGATTATTGCAATTTCCCAAGTCATTTATAATGGCTTCGAGGAGACGAGATAGAATTTGCCACATCCATGTCGGTGTGAGATTTGTCTGTAAAAACTTGCATCATGGTCACAGCAGGGCCCATTCTAACCTTCCTAGTGTGTGTAGAAATAGACCTAGTTGAGTGAGTCTTTATAGATCAGCATGGCCTGCCAGCTTTAGGACTGGCTTGCCTTGAGTTCAAATTCCACCTTTTCTGTGTGTTGTTTATTATTGCATTACAATTTTGAGAGCTGCAGTTGTTACTAGATGCTTAAAGGCCAGAGCAGTTCACCAAAAACCCATTCTTAAGTGAGGAACATTAGGAAAATGTTTGTTCTGGACCATGGTCAAATCAGAACTGAGAGTAGTTATAGTAGTGGTGGTGGTGGTTGTGATAGTAATACAGTGGGGGTAATGAGGAACTAGTAGTAGTAGTAATGTTGAAACAAGTGGTAGTAGTAATAGAAGAGAGAGTAGTAGTGGTACAGTTGAACCTCGGTTGCCGATTGCATTACTTGTCAAATAAATCAGTTTTCGAATGAGGTGTTAGAGACAAAAATGTTCTGGTTTTTGTATGTTCTCTTGGTTGTCAATGGATAAGTTTTCACATGTACGGAATGGGACCAAGCGGCTCAGGTCACTCGTTCATAGAATGGCCACTGCACAATGAGTCAAGATCATAGGTATGAGTCAATATAGCCACTGACATGATTCTTTATGGGAAAAATTGCTTGGGTGGTTGTTGATTTTGGTCAGAGAATCGACATCTGGAATGAATTAAATTTGAAAACTGAGGTTCCACTGCATTAATAGTGAAAGAATTAATAATAATGGTAGAAGTAGTAGTGTAAAAGACCAAGAGAACAGAGGAGCACTGAAAGAGAGTTGCTGACCCACGAGCTTAGAACAGAACCCATGGGACAAAACCATCACAGAAAAAAAACAGGGATAGAACCCACCAAGGCAGAAGATGAATGGCAAAGAAAAAAAATAATGCCAAGGAAGAGCCAAAGGTTAGTTCAAGTCACTGGTGTCTGACACTTAGAGCGCTTGACAACGTAATTGGACAGGCAGACGTCTACGGAAGTAAAGCCAGAACTAATATTCATATTAGAAGAGTTGTGTATAAGACCTCTTTCAACAAGACAGTGTTTTTGAAGGCTAGAAGAAGTGTAGATAGTTTTACCTGGGGACCAGTTAGTAGAATGGCTATGATCTCTGACATGACAGAGAAGAGCATTGTTAGTGTTGCCAAGGCAAACACTTTTATGCTCTTAAGTCCTTTAGGGATAGGAGTATGAACAAGATTAGTGTGAAAGGTATTAGGATATTGAAAAACAAGTTTGATACCTAGAAAATGGAGGGTGTTGTTAAGGTTTGGAATATTTTAAATGTAGGGGAGGCAAAGAATAGATTTCACAGGGATAGTGTGTCTGGGAGAGAAGGAAGCCCCTTTTAGCATGATAGTTGGTAGAGTTTATGAAATCTGAAGGATAGCCAAGGCAAGGTATTAACAAATACCTGATATTTACAAATAACTGAATAGATTAAAACATTACTGTTCACATTTGCTTGAAGAGTAATAACTATCATACTGAGCTGCTCTCTGGGTTTACCAATTAAGTGTAGGAGTGAACTTTCTTACTATATAGTGTTTATATATTGTTTATTTTTATATTTATCGGAAGTAATGTCGAGTGAATTAGTTAAATGAGATGAAACATTGCATCTTGGATATATGGGAAGTTGCTGACTTTTCTTTTTCCTCCAATAGAGCTACCAAACAAATTCTGATGAGGACCATCGGCTACTCTTTGACCTTATTTCCAAAATGCTGGAGTATGAACCAGCACAGCGGATCACCCTAACTGAAGCTCTTAGGTAAATTTACTTATTTTTTTCTACCATTGTTACTTATGAGCAGTGAAGAATGTGCATTATTTTTTTAACTGATTTCACAATAATTTTATTCAAACTTTTTCCACCATTCATTATATTTTTCTAAATGTTTAGCATTTGCTCTGTTCATTTCATTTAAGGGTTTTACAGGAGTTAGGCTAAGAGTTACTGCTCACCTCAAAACCTAGCCCTATTATTATCTTTAATTTATGTGAGTGGACTTTTATTTCAGTATAGAAATCAGTATAGAAAACAAGATTAAGTTTGGCCTTTTGGTTAGATGTGTAGCCACCATTTCGTACTTTCCACCAACATAAAATGCTGCATATCTTCATTTAAAGGAGAAATGTATCGAGTGCATAGCAACAAAGACCCACTACCTTAACATATTGTGTGTAATTATGGATTCAAAATGGAAGGCAAGTTAAATATAACATAGGAGAGGCCTGGGGATGTGATTAATGAACAGAGGAAATATTGTCTTAAGAATGTCAACATTGTTTATTTTGCACTTTACTTTGTAATAGTTGAATGGGTTGTTGCTCAGGCTCAGTCAGTAGAATGGAAGGCATACTAGTGAAACAGGTAAGAATATTGTGTTAAGGAAACAATGAATCGCAGATGTGTAATTTGCCCCCAGAAGACTAACTTTGCACCTGCGTAATTTTTAAAGTTTTCCATCAAATTTCATGCTTTTGGTGTCATTACTATTGGAAAATATTCTCTACCATTTCGGAAGGAAAATTTTTTCTTTGTAATAAAATGAACTCTGTGAGCAATATTAATTTTGGGTTGCCTGGACAGTGAATATGTTAAGACAGAATTTGAGAGATTCTGAAACTAGTCAAGAAAACATTGTTTATAGTGCTTCCTCAAACATTCACAGGTGCTAGACCTTTCCATTTATCATTTTTTGTAAGTACTGGGGACCAAACTGGCACCCTTACAAGTAAACTAGTTCAGTTTCCATTACTACTAACATAATTTATTACTTAAATGATATGGTGAGATTCTCATTGTATCAGCTGTTTACCTATACTACAGTGTTATTCCTTGACTTTGTCAATGGTCCAAGTCGGACCGAAATGTCGTCGTAAGCTTCTCTCTTTTATGTGCGGGTTATTTGTGTATCCTTGAAAGGGTTGTCAGAATTGAAGGCACAGTAAACTAGCAAATATAAAAATGGTTTTCTCATTTTCATAATTAAATATTTCCAGTTTCTCCATTTTCATGTACTCATACCACTTAATGCAATGTGCAGTCACTCTCCTCAGTTATTTCTAGTAAATGGTGACTTCAGCAATGCATATACCTGGAGTTTACCTGGAGAGAGTTCCGGGGTTCAACGCCCCCGCGGCCCGGTCTGTGACCAGGCCTCCTGGTGGATCAGAGCCTGATCAACCAGGCTGTTACTGGAGTTTACCTGGAGAGAGTTCCGGGGGTCAACGCCCCCGCGGCCCGGTCTGTGACCAGGCCTCCTGGTGGATCAGAGCCTGATCAACCAGGCTGTTACTGGAGTTTACCTGGAGAGAGTTCCGGGGGTCAACGCCCCCGCGGCCCGGTCTGTGACCAGGCCTCCTGGTGGATCAGAGCCTGATCAACCAGGCTGTTGCTGCTGGCTGCACGCAAACCAACGTACGAGCCACAGCCCGGCTGGTCAGGAACCGACTTTAGGTGCTTGTCCAGTGCCAGCTTGAAGACTGCCAGGGATCTGTTGGTAATCCCCCTTATGTATGCTGGGAGGCAGTTGAACAGTCTCGGGCCCCTGACACTTATTGTATGGTCTCTTAACGTGCTAGTGACACCCCTCTTTTCATTGGGGGGATGTTGCATCGTCTGCCAAGTCTTTTGCTTTCGTAGTGGGTGATTTTCGTGTGCAAGTTCGGTACTAGTCCCTCTAGGATTTTCCAGGTGTATATAATCATGTATCTCTCCCGCCTGCGTTCCAAGGAATACAGGTTCAGGAACCTCAAGCGCTCCCAGTAATTGAGGTGTTTTATCTCCGTTATGCGCGCCGTGAAGGTTCTCTGTACATTTTCTAGGTCAGCAATTTCACCTGCCTTGAAAGGTGCTGTTAGTGTGCAGCAATATTCCAGCCTAGATAGAACAAGTGACCTGAAGAGTGTCATCATGGGCTTGGCCTCCCTAGTTTTGAAGGTTCTCATTATCCATCCTGTCATTTTTCTAGCAGATGCGATTGATACAATGTTATGGTCCTTGAAGGTGAGATCCTCCGACATGATCACTCCCAGGTCTTTGACGTTGGTGTTTCGCTCTATTTTGTGGCCAGAATTTGTTTTGTACTCTGATGAAGATTTAATTTCCTCATGTTTACCATATTTGAGTAATTGAAATTTCTCATCGTTGAACTTCATATTGTTTTCTGCAGCCCACTGAAAGATTCAGTTGATGTCTGCCTGGAGCCTTGCAGTGTCTATATATGACATACACTAAAAATTATTTCTTCAGAATTCTTCATAAAATTTTGATGCACCTACTATAGGGGTCATACAGAGTATAGGGACTGGAAGGCAATCAGGTTTAATCCAAGGAAGGGGATGTCAGATTTAATTTCTTGGATCAAGAGCCCCCTCTCACCCAGACTTCTGCCTGACCAATTTCACGGAACTGAGAAATTACCTGGGTGGGCTAAATTGGAATGACCTGACTATGGGTCAGGTAGGTGGTGGTGGTTGCCAATATGGCATTTTTCAGAGCATAGTCCTAGCTGCCCAGACAACTTTTGTTCCGAACAAGGAAATTAGATCTAACAAAAATGATCCCAAATGGATAAACAATAGATTAAAACATCTCGTTGGTCAAGAGAGAGGCATATAGGCGTATCAAAAGAGGGGATCGGCAATTAAGAAATCAATATATTCAGTTAAAGAGAGAAATAAAAAAAGGAATAAGAAAAGCTAAGAGGGATTATGAGGCTAAGGTTGCAAGGGATTTGAAGACTAACCCAAAAGGGTTCTTTCAGGTATACAGAAGTAAGATTAGGGACATGATAGGCACACTTAAGAGTTACTCAGGTTAGATCGCTGACAGTGATAAGGAAATGTGTGAAATTTTCAGTACTACTTGCTCTCAGTTTTTACTTGGGAAGATATTAGCGAAGTTCCAGAAATAATAAATTATGTAGAACAGGATGATGATAAACTATGCGCGATTGAGGTAACTAGTGACATGGTCCTGAGACAAATAGAGAAATTAAAACCTAACAAATCCCCAGGCCCTGATGAATTGTTTGCAAGGGTTTTAAAGAAATATAAAGAGGAACTTGGCAAACCTTTGGCTAATCTTTTCAACATATCACTACAAACTGGTATAGTGACAGATAAGTGGAAAATGGCAAATGTAATACCTATTTGTAAGGCAGGTGACAGATCCTTATCTTCGAACTATAGACCAATAAGCCTTTCCTCTATAGTGGGAAAATTTATGGAATCAGTAATTCCCGAGGCAATTATTAGCCATCTTGAAAGACATAAATTGATTAGTGAATCTCAACACGGTTTTACAAAGGGGCGTTCCTGTCTTACGAATGTACTAACTTTCTTCACTAAGGTGTTTGAGGAGGTAGATCATGGTAATGAATGTGATATTGTGTATATGGTCTTCAGTAAGGTTTTTGATAGTTCCACATCAGAGGCTATTGAGGAAACTTACGGCACACGGAATAGGAGGTGAAATTTTTTCCTAGGTACAGGCATGGTTGACAAATAGGCAGCAGTGTGTTTGCATAAACGGGAAGAAATTAGAATGGGGGGCATGTCACAAGCGGTGTTCCACGGGTCAGTGTTGGGCCCCTTGTTGTTCACAATTTACATAAACGACATAGATGAGGGAATAAATAGCGACATAAGCCAAGACAAGACTCGCAGCAATGGTTTCAAGTTGGAAAAATTTGGATTCAGGAAGGATGTAGGAAAGCACTGGTTTGGTAATAGAGTTGTGCATGAGTGGAACATACTCCCGAGCACATCATAGAAGCTAAAACATCATGTAGTTTTAACAATAGGTTTGATAATACACAAGTGGATGTGAGTTGGACCTGACTAGCTTGTGGAGATGATGTGGACCTGCCTCACATGGGCCAGTAGGCCTGCTGTAGTGTTCCTTCTTTTTTATGTTCTTATCAACAAACCTTTCTTGAGTTAATGCATAGGAGAGTAGTGTGGTGGAAAATATGGCAGATCTCTTGTAGATATATCACAGTAGAAGGCACTGGAGTATATACAGTTATTAACTAATCTACAAAAGATGATTTTTCTTAAACTCACAGAAGTGGTCAGTGCCTGATAGTGAAATTCCAGGGTAGTAAGCTTTAATAGTGGAGTTTGACTACCACATTCATTTCAACCTGATCTTCCAACACTTCCTCTAACAACTTTGGGTGGGATTGCATGTCTACTCCTATTCTTGAAAAGGCTCGACACTGTTAAAGAGCACACAGAGATGATTATTCTGCATAGAATTTGAGATATTGTTACAGGCCGGAGGAGAGGCTGGAATATGATACTTTTCCAAAGCAGCATCAAATGTTACTTGATGCCTAATTACAATGCAGGCTGTCCCCATTTAGAGGTTTGGTATACTGTGATAAGTTTATGTAAAAGCTCATCCATGAGCATATGATTAACGCTATACCTATTACAGTATGCGCATCAGTATAGACAACCTAAGGTTAAGTGGATTAGGAATGCTTTGTACCATCTTTGTTGTGAAAGGTCTCAAATTGCTATCTTCATGGGAGATTGGTAAAATTAGCATTGTTTGTAGAATTTGTCATGTTATGACTTTATGTAAGTAAAAATAACTGTAGAAAATAGTTTAAAATATACTGTATTAATGTTTTTATAAATTCATGTGTATTTCCAGGCATCCGATCTTCGACAAGATTCCAGCTGTCCAACGGTTAGGTGATAATGCTGTTGGTGACCTTCGTGAACGCTCACACTCTCTTTCACGGTGATGCCAGATATTCCAAGGGTCATACAGTACTGCTGCCTAACTCGTATACCTTCCCTTGTGCCCTCCCTGCCTCTCGTGGCTCATGTGCAGCCTTAGGCCAGAAAAAATATTGAAATGTAGATAGTTCAAATAGAGCTCAGTAAATCAGTCCAGTGGCAAAATCTTTTCCTTTATTCCTATCTTAACCCTTCATTTTTTCTATAAAACTAACTTTATTGAACTTAAGTCCTCTGAACCCTTTCATTGCGTAAAGCGTTGCCCAGTTATTTCCTAAGTATCATTTCACCATGAAAACGAAAGTGCTCAAATAAGATTTTTTTTTTTTTTTTAACCGTAAGGTTTTCTTATATTGCGCTTAATTTCCTTAAAAATTGAATACATATATAGCTAAACTTTATATTTTTTATAACGATATATATGTATCTAAAATTTGGCTAAAAGCATTCGTGACATATTATTTCCTTCTTATACAAAATATGCATTATTTTATGATCATAATGATATATCTTTTTTTTTTCATCTGCATAAAAACCATATTTTATAATACATAAGGTTCATCTGTCTTTGTTGCCTACAGTGAGCAAGGACATGAAAATAATAGTGTGTCCAGTAAGTGATTATTTTTCCCTGTAAGGTGAATAAAATAACAGTTTGTCAGTATTTGTGGGTGTGTTGGGGGGGGGGGGGGTGAGTGAGTGTCTGAGAGAGGGTGAGTGATTACAGAATTCATTTATTACATAATGTTAGCAAAACTTGCAGGGAATGGTTTTCACTCTGGCTGCTAAATAGCAGCAGAAGCTGCTGGTTTCAAATTTCAACATCGCATAAGTGAAATTCCAGACACCATGGGATATTAAAAAAAATCTTTATGATCAGAGTGCAAGTCTTGAGTTATGGGGTTTAGAAGATAGACCACAAATTGTAGATTCACGACCTAAGCGCCTAAGGGTTAATAAAATAACTTGCTAGACACGAGTCACTGATAGATTAGTATAAACGGTACTTTTTTGTATAATCCTGATGGATAATGGAGAACATTAATTGAAATAATTAAATTTCATGTTTGTTCATATTAATTGCACATGGCAAGGGAAGGGAAATGGTATAGTTTAATATCAGCACATTTTGCGTACTATATTACCCCTTCATTAAGTTGTAATTATTTGTTCATGTCAACAATCAGTTTGTATTTAATTTTTTTTAAACGAGGCTACTACATGAGGCATTTTCTTTTTCTCTTTCTCTCTGTTCCTGTGTCTCATTGGAGGTAATGAGTAAATGACTTTGAAATTGAAGATGTGTAAAGGAACACATGAGAGCCATGAACAGTATGCTGAGGATTATCTAACTAATGTTGATAAAAAAATGCCTTTAGAAAATATAGCAATGTCCTCATTTGCTTTTTTTTCTTTCTTTTCTTTCCTTCTTTGTTAAAAAAAAAGTCCCAATGATATGTAATATACAGTTGATAAATGTGACCTGGTATTTTGTAAGTTGTGTAAAATATTTTAGATTGTACGTTATTTCAAATTGCACAAAGAACTAATCATTATATGTTGAATAGTATGAAATGAATGAGTGAGACTAAAAGTAATAAGAAGCTAATGAGTGAGTGCAAGAGTGATGGACTTTATCCAGCATGAGACAGCAGCTCATGGGACTGAGTGTTAGCATCTCATGTACACTTAACGCTTTGGCCTTTGGTGGAATTGATCTTACCACTCAAATCTTTAGTCATGGCAAGGCATGATGATTGTATGATTTGGTTATACAGTATATATATATATTTATATATAGATCTATATATATTTACTGTTCTTGTTATTTGGTTCTAATCTAAATTTGAAATGTTAATAAAACACACTGTTAACATTTGTGTATTTAAGTTAAAATTATGTACTTAATTGTGCATACAGTTCAAATATTAAAGCACTACAATACTGTTACGCTACATTGTTTGGAGGTGAGTGGACATAGAGCAATCATACACCTGTCGCCATATTGTTTATCTAAATATTTACAGTGTATATAATAGTTATTTGCGCAGATGTCCAGAATCCCTCTAGTATTTTTTTTTTTTTTTTTTTTTTTGTGTGTGTGTATGTGTATTTAAGGGTATTTTTTTTCTTCACACTACAGTTCCCAGATTTTTAAATAAGAGATATTCAGGATCAACAGCTGTCATACAATCCTTGTTTAAAAGCTTCAACTACAGACTAGATTGGGGGCATTTTTACATATCTTACCACCTGACAAATCCAACCATGATGTGCATATTTCATAGACTGGTGATGTAATGATTAAAAGGGTAGTTTGTTGTTAATCATGCAATGGTATGACTAGTTTCATCAATGCCAAGGCTATAAATTTGTTGCTCTCAATAAATATTTTCATTTAATTCATTATTTTCATATCCCATAATTATTTAATAGTGTCCAGAATTAAGTATTAAAATTGTTTACATTTAGTGCTGTAATTTAATATAAGCTTTTTTCAATATTTCAATTCAGTATGCTTTATTACTACTGAAAATCCATGTCCCACAGGCTTTTATCTAACACTTGAATCTCTGATTACTTGTACCTATTTATTAACTATTTTTGCCTTGATTTTTTTTTTTTAACCAGTAATAGTTATACAGCGAATTACAAATGTTGACTGTGCGTTAAAACCTTTTCTAAATTATTGGAGGTTTGTATTTTTAGGTGGTAAAGAGACTTTTTTTTTTTTTTTTTCACTTAATTGAGCTTCTTTTTTTTTTTATGTAATATTTTTGTCAGGTTTAGACTGAGCATTACTGGAAGGAGTCTTATGATATGGAACACTTTTAAGCTTTATATAATTTTTCAGTAATTGGTAATTCTGAATTTTTCATTTTGTTTAAAACTAAGGTGTTGATACTAGTACTCTAATGCAATTGATAAACTTCATTAGGTCATGAGTTTTTTTTTTTTTTTTGTCACGTCTCTTATTCTTGTCATCGGACAAGAATATTTTTCTGTTTCACGTTTTTAGCATTTTTGATATCCTGAAAAGCAGTGATGGAAACATTAATGTTTGGTGAGCTACGATATTTTCAACATTTTGGAATTATTATGTATCAGATGTAAATGTTCAGCATTTGTAAGAAGTTCATTTGGACTTGTGCTAATCATGTTAGATAACAGATTATCTACTCATAATTTTAGTAAGTTTTGCATTATTCTTTCCTACTTTCTCTTTAAATGTTGACTAGTTTTTAACAATTTTCTTCCAGCTACCACCCCAGTATTACTGTCGCCTAGAAAACTTGGTTCCAGTACTTCTTACTGTTTTATTGAGGTTACCTAATTATTTAACTTTTCACACATTTACATTTCATTCACTTTATTTTGTCAAAAAAAAAAAAAAAAAACTTTTCTGTTAGTGTTTGCTTTTATTCTTTTACTCATTACCCACAGATGTAGGCGTAGGATTCGTGATAATTCAACAGGGTTGTCCACAATTCTTGAAGTCTAACTCTTGATGTTGATTGGTGATCCAATTTACAGGTGAGGTTGGCAGACTTGCATCAACATTCAGGGACTACTTTTTCCTAAAAGTTGATGTAATGCCAATAAAATATTTCTTGGAATGGCAGCCCATTCTAGCAGCAGTTAAAATTTCCTTCTTTACTTAACAGCTGGGTTGCTAACACAACTCCCTTGTAACACTTCATCACTATGCATCTTGTAACCCACAATCCTTGTTGCTGAGGTTTCTTTCTGATTTGGCATATTGGTGTACCAAACTTGCTTACCTTGGGTATTTTCATTGTTTAAATTTGATCTACATTCCATGCCACAAGAATATGTAGTGTTCTAGTCAAAAGAATGCAGAAATGTCTGAAATTTACAAATATGATTCCTCTCCATTCAAACCAGTAAATTCTGAATTACAGTTTCTAAAATAATTAGAGTACTTGCCCTTGTTCAGATTTCTTCCTGTAAGATACAATTTCAGAGTTTTATTGTAGAAATTTGCTGGTCTTTCCCCAAATTTGAATAGGAAATAATTTTCTTTTGAATATTGGGTCTCAATTCTGAATTAAATTTCAATGTGGGAAAGTTTCAACCAAGCAATGCTATCTATGGTTTAGTAGATCTTAGAATTGTAGTATTTGAATTTCTGACAAGACTTAAGGAAAAAGGGATGGTAAATACTTCTTTTCGGATCACCTTGCCTGGTGGGGAGTAGCCTTTGTTTAAACGAGAAGGTACCTGCATTACTGTTTATACTTAAGCATGGAAAAGAATTTGAGAAATTTTGTTTCCAGCTTCACTCTATCTAGAAAAGGTTGATTTGATTAGAATTGAGCTGTAGAAAAGTAATTTGCATTTCCTGTAGCACTGTAGCTTTAAATATTGATATTGTTGAATCTATTTATTGACTGTATGACTGAAAGGGGTTTGAGATATTTGCTGTTTAGAGGGACATCTAAACTGTGACTGATGGTAAGTGTTTCTTTTTTGGGTTGCCCCCGCTTCAGTGGGAGACAGCCAACGTGTTAAAAAAAAAAAAATGACTTGAGGAAAGGAAGATTGTAGGTAGGTTGTAGAGATTGAATATTGAATGAGGAATGGAGTAGATAGAAGGTTGAAGACAAAAATTGGCTTGTCAGTTTTAGTACATGTATATATTTAACCCGTAAACGGTCCAAGCAGATCTACGTTCACGTGTAGTGCTACAAAAGTAGATCTACGTTTTTCTTACATATTTTCAAATATAACAAAAAAAAAAGTAGATCAAAGTTTTTTTACACATTTTCAAATGTAAAAAAACAAAAAGATCTACTTTTTTACATACTTTCAAATGTTGAAAAACGTATATATACGTTTGGACCGTTTACGGGTTAAATAGCATTTTTACATTGTGAACATCGGCATAATTTTTTTTCACTTGCCTCAACCCATGAGGAGAGAGGTAACTAGGTTCGATTTTTGGGAAAAAGGGGTATTTAATTCCCTTGGAAAGACCCTTCACCAGCATTGGGCCCCCTCTTAAAAGGGTAGATAAAGAAAACGAACTTTGGTTGATTTTTTTCCCAGTCTCAAACCCCCTTTTTTGAGGAATAACACGAAGCTTGCTTGCTTTCACATATAAAAATGAACAAGAATTTTCCTTTTGCAGTGGGTATCATCTGGGAGTCTGTAAGAGTCCGAAACAACTTGAATGTAAAACCCAGACATCAAACAGTGTGCACATAGCATGAGAATTTGCACTAACTAGATGAGAAAACACTTCTGAATCAGTAAATGACCCCGGGTGATTGTGGGGAAGAACTTTTTGCATTTTTCAGTGCCATCGGAATTTAAAAACCATCGTGTACACAGCAATACATGAGAATAGAAGTGACAGGAATGACAAGGTGAGGTTAGAGCGGGCAAATGGTTTTTTTGCAATGGAAAGTAGGGAAGAGCAAAGATGAATTGCTTGAGTTTCCCGGGGGGAAGAGAAAAGTAAAATGCGGGTTAACATACAAGGGAAGAAAAACTAATGGGGGCACAGGTATAGAGGGGAAAAAGGGGCATAAAAAATGGGGCAAGTTTAAAAAAAACTGACTGACTTATAAGCCCATTGCTGACCTGCTGGGGAAATTATTGTAAAGTTGTGAGAACGGACAAACTATAAATAAAATTTTTCTCTTAAAAACAAAAAGCCCTAGACCAAATCCCTTGTGGTGATTGAAAATGGGAAAAAATTCGGAAAGAATAATGGGGACACTGAAAAAATAGGGGTCACTGTAGTCTAGTTTAAATAAGATAGGGTAGGATGAAGGTGAAGAAGGGTGCATCTATCACCCTGCAAGAAAGGGAGGTCAGGGAGCTATAACAAACGTATCAGTTTGGGGAAAAACAGGTCTTGTTTTTATTTTTTTTAAAACCCTTTTATGTTTGGGCCCCTAAAATTTACAACTTGCAAGCCCGTGCAGTCCCCTAAATATTACACCAAAATTCAGCAGTTTCCCAAAGTTGCGGGAGAAAGCTGGTAGGGGCCCACATGTTAGACAGGGGTCTGAGTGGTCGATGATAGTAAAAAAAATTCTGCAGCCGCAGTGCATAATGAGAAAAAAAAAATCCCACCATGTTTTTGGTTTTTAAACCCGACTTTTCAATGATTTTTATGGGATTTTTTGGTTGTATTCTCGTTTTTTTGGGCTCATTTTATAGAAGGAAGATATTTTTCAGAAATAGGATATTTGAATGGTTTACAATTAAAAGTACAGTGGAAAATTCAAATTTTAATTAATCCCTTTCAGGAGCGTTCTAAAAATTTGAAAAATTTTAAAAACAAACCAAAATTTCCCCCTAAAAAATAATGGAAAACAAATTTAAACCCTTCCCGAAACCCAAAAATATTCACAAAAAAAAAAAAGCAAATTTTTGAGTTAATTTGTTTTTCATCGCACAACAATATAGTGTACAATTATGTATGTATTAATAAAATTTAAATAAAAGTTAGGGCAATGTGTGGGTAAATTTATGCAAAAAAATTTAGTGTGTGGAAATTAGAAGGTGTGGATTTAAAAAAAGATTAGTCAGAGGTGAAGAGGGGTTGGAGGTGGTTTTGGGCATTTAGAGAGAATGGATGAAGTAGAAAGAACGGAGAGATATAAATCTGTAGGGGAGGGTAGGGGCCCTTCTCGAAAAGTTTTGGAGGGAGGGACTTGGCTTCCCCGCAAGCGCGTGAGGTGTTAGATAGGAGTGAATGGGACAAAAAAAGGGATTTTGGGGCCTGCATGTGGAGTGTGGCAGGGTAAAAATTTAGTGAAAGGGATTCAGGGAACCGGGTTTTTTTTAATAGCCGAATTGAGTCCTGGAAAAGGAAGTACAATGCCCACTTTAACCCTTTCAGGGTCCCAAGGGGCCAAAAATTTAAGCAGCCCCCAGTGTCCAAAAATTTTCCAAAAAAAAATTTGTTATTTTTTCTTATGAAATCGTAGAGAATCTTTTTGTGAAGGTAATAAAACAAAAAGTACGAAATTTGGTGAAAAATTGACGAAATTATGCTCTCGCAAATTTTGATGTGTCAGCGATATTTACGAATCGGCGATTTTGCCGACTTTGACTCCCATTTTAGGCCAATTACATTATTCCAATCAACCAAATTCTTAGCTATTTCACTAGTATTACTTCTATTCTATCGATTGAGCACAAGAAATCGCCAAGTCAACTGTTTCAACTACAAAATAAAGTGATCGGAAATTGTTAATTTGGCCAATTTAACACAAAGTTCAAAATATTCCAGTTTCAAAATAGGCTCCACAATAAACAATGTAGGTATTCCTGGAACTAAACTAACATTTCCTCTGTTCATTAGTTACATTTTGAGGCTTTACAAATAAATTCCATTTTGATTTTTTATTCACATAATGAATTT